AAAAAAATATAGTGGAAAGACAGAAAACACTAGTGTATTTGGGATCAGGTAGGCATTGATATTTCTCTACTCTCATGTACAAAAGTCAGAAGGAATTGAAAAGAAGAAGAGTTTATAAGTGACAGTGAAAACTTCTTGTGAGCATAAAAATAAAATAAGTAAGTAAAAACTCTTTATGAAAGCTAAATCAATTAAAAGAGAAATACGCACTCATTTTACTATGCTAATTACAGTGACAGGTTATAGTTAAAAACTAGGAGTTTGCTGGAACTAAACTAGTTTACTAATGTATGTAAAAGAAGTATGATAATACCAGATAATTTTGAAAGAACTGTGTAATCATATAAAATTATAGGGAAATTTTATACCCTAATACACTAATCACCGAATTATTATTTAGCTATTTTTAGGATTTCAGAATGGTTTATTCCTTAATTATTCAATTCATAACATCCTACATCTTACTCTCAAGCATTAGCTACTTCTTGTGATATGTTAAATTAGGTGGAATATTGTTTGCTTTGAAATGGCAGATCTTCTCTGCTTTTAGTCAAGTTTGAAATTATTAAAATTCAATTGTCCATATCGAAGATTTATAAATACTATTTCTGAGTATTTTTTTCTTCTTCTAAGAAGTAGGGGGAAATAATAGGTATTCAGCAATCGGACCTAAAATTTACTTAGCACTTAATACACTGTCATATTTAAGGCATCTTTTTTTATATTAATTGCATTCCATACATAAATCATTCTATTTACAATGGTTAGAGTAGCCAGTAATTACTTGGGATTGTTTGTGAAAAAATGTAAGGACTCCAGAATTGGTTTGTTCTTGCAGAGCCCACTAATTTTGGCAGATCTGCTCTGTAGAGTTTAGAACTTAATTATGATCTGTGCTTCCAGAGATAGGAGATATCTCCGACAGCACTTCAACACAGGTTTCTCTTGTCTGTTTACTTAGGGGAGAAAAACTCGTAGTTCTTTTTATGCTTGTACGACTAATCGTTGGGGGAAGAAATTAGCAGGAGTGTGTCCATGGCCAAGAACTCCTTCACTCCATCCTTTGAGGAACCCCATGCCTTGCCATGCATCTGCACCTGCCGCAGCCTTACGCTGCAGCATATACCCCCTTTACTTTGTGTATTTTTTTGTGCACGTTTATTGCTAATTCAGGAGTGCTCTGTATTGGAGTTCAGTGCTAACATCGTTATGCTTTCCCATAATTAACGGTTCAGTAAACCCACAGGGTGATAGCGCCTGAGTGTCCAGCAAACAATAAAGGTTCTGCTTCAAATTTTTGTGGAGAGGAATTTACAGCCAGTGCAAGATGTGCTGTTTAGATGGGATAGCTTCCTAAGAATGCTAGCACTTTTTATTTTTCTCCATGCAACCTATTGAAGAATCACAAGAAAGTTTATGCAAACTTAAATACATTACTAAATCTCCACCAGAATGCATCGCAGTGTCAAAAATGAAAGCGAGAATTAGGGAAATTTTCATGCTTGGATATTACACGTTGTCAGCCCTTCGTTTCAGTGCTTCATGTAAAGGATGGTGTTTTCTTTTGTATCCTGCGGGTGGCATCGATGAAAAATTTCTTTGAACAGCCTCTAAAATTTGCTTGTAGTGTCAATACAGGCTCTTCATAAGGACGTGTCACAGGAATATTTATTTGGAAATAATTGAACAAAATACGAAGTGAGAGAAATTACACTTGGCTATGCATTTAGGAAGGGATCGTAATACAAAGAGGTGCCCTATATATATAACTGAGTTTTATTATCTCCTTGTTCAAGATTGATCTAATTTTCAAATCCTTTGAGGCATGGAATTTTTTTGATTGAACCATTTCCAGAAGAATTCACCTTTGGAAGTTGACACTGTTGTTTGAGTCTGTTGCATGGTGTATTAAAGGAAACATTTCATACATCGCTTCCTTTTCCTTTCCACATAGTTTCTTATCCTTACAGCTTTACTTTTCAGAGCTAAGACTTGGAGATTCAAAAAGTCTGTATGTGGTTCCCCCAGCTTAGAGAACTATCAAGAGAAACATCAGGAAAAGTCTACTTCTTTTTTTAAGGAGGTAGTCTTTGAAGTCAGTAATCAGTTACATTAATTCAACTGGATGTTCTCCAGTTAATTATTTATTCTTTAAAAAGTCTTCTGTAACTCATTTGCTGACCAGGTAGAATTGGCCATTAAAACTCATCAAATTAATAATCTCTGGCCTTTTCATTTTATAGGAGGGATCCAGGTCTCTCTTCTTGCGTGAAAGCAGAAAACAAAACACTGGTTATGTCTGACACCACTTCTTGCTGGGCGGCTTTCTGCGTGTGGGGTGGCACATTCAGTGGTGGAGTAGAAGGGTCTCTGATCCCGAGAGTGGACAAATCAAGAACACAAAGTAGCCTGGACCTGCTGCACGAAAGGAGAATGTAGACTGAGAGATTTCTCCATTTTAAGAGTTTCCCTGATACTGTTTATTAATATTAATAATAAATAGGGCCTCTTTCACTGATACGGTATGATTGTTTGCATTATGTTAGGTTTATTGTTTCTGTAATGCCTGTAAAACAATATGGGTCAAATTTCCCGTTATGGGATCACATTAAGCCTTGAAATATTGTGAACATTTGGGCATGCTTCATCATTTGAGAGCAAGAAGAAAAATTTGAGAGAAAGATAAAAACAAACAGGAATAAACTCGAGGAGAAAATAGAAGTCAGACATGGGAATGAGTTAAGATGAACATGTCAGCCTTAATAGGAGACAATGATATGGAATAACTAGAAATTGAAAAGAGGAAACAAAATGTTAATTTTCTTTTAAAAGGAATAGAACTTAACATGAAAATATATTGAATAATTATTTTACAATATAAAGCCAAAGGCATTGTCATAGTTGGAATGTGCAAATGTAGGATAGTGTATTTGGTTTGATTTATTTTTATTGTACTTTCCTCTTAGGCACTATTTTAGATCTACAGGTTAATAGGGGAAGGAAGTGACATTCAGATTGAGAACATATATAAATAATACAGAACTCATGACATTCTAGTATTAAATACCCAGAAGAGCAAAATCAAAGAATATTTTTGCTTATGTATTGTCTAGATATAACCTAAAATTAACTGAAGTACACGTGTGATTTTTCAAATGAACAAAAATATGCAGTTTCTAGAGTCCTGCCCGTATTAAAAAATCTGTGACTCCGATTAGTTATTGTAATTCAATACAGACAGCCTTCAAAGAAAAACAAAAAAGCTGATAGTAAGTTGGAGATTACATTTTTCTTTCTGTACCTGGTATTCATAGACTTATAGAATAGTTTAGGTTGGAAGGGACCTGGAAGATCATCTGGTTCCACCCCCCCTGCCATAGGCAGGGACACCTCCCACTAGACCAGGTTGCTGAAAGCCCCATCCAGCCTGGCCTTGAACACCTCCAGGGATGGGGCATCCATAGCTTCTCTGGGCAACCTGTTACAGTGCCTCAAAGTGAATTTTTTTTTCCTAATATCTAATTTAAATCTACTTTCTTCCAGTTTGAAGCCATTCCCCCTCGTCCTATCAAATTCCATAAACAATAGGTTGTCAATGTTATAATTTGTTATTATGCTGATTTAAAATTATTATGGCTTTCTGAACAAAAATAAAAGTTTATGAGCTTCTCAAAAGTTAGTAAAAGTTATTTCTAATGGAAAGAGTTAAGTGAGCTAAGATGGGTGGTCAATATCAGATATCATTTATGAGATTGTTTTCAGTGTTAGGACATACGTGTTTCTTTAGTAATAAGGGTGTCTAAAATTGTTTTTTCTGAGACTTCCTTTCACTTTATTCTTGTGCCTTGTATACCAGTGGACATGATTTAGTTAAATTATTAGGATGGGCACAAGAATAAGCATTTAGGTCTAACCTTATAATATTTATGGATGTGCTGCATAAATATTCTTCAGATCCTATTCTTCACACTGTGTATCCTCTTGGTAATCACATTAATAAACACAGGACAATTAGTTTTATACAGACCATCCAAGACATCAGCTGGGATCATAAGCCTCTTTTCCTTTTCCCCTGATGCGTAGCCTGGGCAGGAATCTTCCCAGGAGCTGTGGAAAATGCCTAATTCCCATTCATATATATCAGAGTTTGCAGTTCAACACTTCTAGGTTTGCATCCTTAGACAGAAAAGCACTGTTTTGTTTCTCAATCAATAAAGAATACATTCTTCCTGGCTACAGAGCAGGGGTTTGGGCAATGCGTGTCTCCTTGACAGCACTATATTTTGCTAGCTGGAGGCACCGATCGGGCTGATGTGTATTTCTTGAATTCCCATTCTCATTTCCACTGAAGATTCTAATTAGATCCTGGTGATGCTTAAGAAGAGGAAGGGACAGTGTTTTTTCCAAACATTATTCTTTCTAATGCAGAGGGCAGTAGTTTTCTGACGTGCAGCGTTTTAGCACACGTGAAAACAGATGTTTGTCTGTAGCAAACTGTCGTTTGTCAAACTGAGCAAAAATTGTGCTAAGAGAAGCTGGGGAAGGGCTGCGAAGCCCAGGGGGAGAGTCGCAAAGCCTGGGTCTGGGAGCACTGGAGCGCAGAGCGCTGGCAGCAGCGTGCTCCCTAGTGCAAGTTTCCAGGGAGTGTTTCTTCTTGGCACTGACACAGCCAAGTCTCCAGCTCCGACACAGATGTTCCTCCAGCAGCTCTGAAGTAACGCTGCTCGCCGGATACCATGTCATACCCAGGGGTTCGCGGTCCACCTCAGCCTTCTAAGAGGACTCGCTACTGATGAAATCAAACGCTTAGAGAAGCATGAGATGCGGGGCTTTATCTGATATTTTGTCTCAGCTGGAGTGGCTGGTGAATTGCCACGGCTCAGTGCAGCGCTGCTTTACGCCGCTGCAACTTTCTGCAAAGCAAACTCTTGGTAAAATCCTCTAATTTCCCTCTGTTTGCGAACCGGTGTGAAGACTGGAATGATTTGCCTGTTGGAAGAATGTTGACTCTCGAGTGGGAGTCAGAGGGACTGCAAACAGTGGGTATTGTTGTGATTATATTTGCATCTCTGAAGCTGCTTCATTTGCTGGGACTGATTGATTTTTCAGAAGGTAAAGTGGTTTGTGCTGTCTGTAGGTGTGGTGTCTGATCTGCTAAAATAGACTTAGAGAGCATCAGGTATAAAAGCTGCGAAATGAAAAGGCTTGAAAAGTGAAAATAGCATTCAGTTGAAAAATCCTGGTTTGTTTCTGCTGGTTTTACTTTGTTATTGTAAAAGAGAAGTAGATGCTAGCATAAGATTTGTATTTTACAATGAATTTCCAAGTGTCTGTGAGTGGATATTTATTAGAAAGACTGAAAACAGTGAATGTAACGCCTGTCAGTTGCCTTTGAAAGCTATTCACTGCTACAAAACTTGATAGATTAAGTGGATCTTAGTTCAGTTCACGTTTATAACACGCTTTACTCTTCTGATTTATGATGCAATTAGAGTTTTGCTCTGTATCAGTATTTATGTGTTAAAAATCCGTTTCATAGATAAATGCAAAACACTCTTACTACAGGGTAGGCTTTAGGATCAAGTCTGCTCAACACCTTTAAAAAAAAAAAGGCATAGATGCCAACATTAAATGTGGGTATTTTAAATATATATAACGAATATATGTTTTAAAATTCCTGTTTCCTTGCTCAGATTCCTGTCTGCTGTTTACTACATGGGTCATATCATTTCATCTACTCTCAAAGAGGTCTTCCCATTCATTTTAATCGGATTTTTATTGCTATAGGATTTTTATTGTGAGGGGTTTTTCACATTTTATAGAAATAGGCTAATTCAGTTCAGTTATTAATGAGATCTTTTGCTGTCAACTTTTCAACTTTTTAACAAAATGTTTTGTGTGGAAAGCTATTCACTCACTGAAGTCCCTGCTCAAAAAATACTGCTTTTTGTTGTTGTTTGTACATGTGAACCCAAACCAATCCTTTTTGCTGTGTAACTGCTTTCAGTCAGAATCACACAGCCAAGGAGAGCACTCCAGTTTTCTGAAACATTAACTTTTCATCATGGAATAGGATCTTTGATGGATGTCGATTCACATCATTACCTCATAAAATTGTTCAGCTGATAAAATGTGAAATCTTTAACGCAGCACTTTTATAGTTACTGAGCTGTTGAAATAAATCATCCTTAAAACTGTCTGTGGTGAGACCGTGTAATATTTGCTGTGTTACTATATAATGCGTTGGTTATGGAATAATTGTAAAATTACTTTTTGAATTCTGAACAAATGAGTAATTTTTTTCTCATAACAATACTCACTTTTTGGGGTTTTTATGTTCTGGATGTGTAGCATTTTTAACATCTAAAAAATCCTCTTATATGTTAGCTTCAACTTTATAACACATGGTAACAGATAGAAAAAAGACTAAAATGCAATGTTGGGGTTTTTTTTAGCAGATGTATAGTTACATCTATTTCTTGATTTCTCACAGTATGATACTGCCATTAAGTCTGTGGGAAAATGTTTCATGTAATTTCAACTATATTAAATCACCTTTTGAAAAAAATCCCCCTGGTGGAAATTATACTGGTTTTAATATAAATAATAAGTTCAAGATGATATATCAGTTGAAGTGTAACATTTTGTTTTAATGCATCCATTAGTACCATGGCATTTCTTCACACGATAATGTAATAATTTCACTCAAAAGTACCTAGCAACATAAAACTGGTCTCTAAATGTAAAAAGATTAAATGTTATAAATTATAGTGGATATATTTATAACATCCGTAGTGTGAATAGCCCCAGTGATTTGGGGGATTTCCAGTTCTCCTAAGGCTGTGCTATTTAACTCTTATATGTTTGGGTATTGCCATTATTATTAAACAAGAATTCTGCCCCAAATGAATAAGGGATATTTTATAGGGTATTCAGAAGTAATGGGTTTTGTTCTCCTGCTGAATGCAATCACAGGTTTTCTGTTGATGTAAAAGGAGGACCGTATTTGACTGACCAGTGCTGATCTTGAAACCAAAATGAGCAATGAGCCCTCCCCATGGAGACAGGGCATGAGCCATATGCCTAAACAAACCTGTTCCCGTAGTTAGGCTTTCTGATGCCTTAACATGCTTGTCTTAATATCCCTGATATCATAGAATCCGCATAATTATGTATTGACTTATTTTGAAGATATCACTGAAAGATGGGGCAGCGTGCTTGTCCCGATGTTTGCCGATACAAGACAGAGAAGACAGCTAAATGACAAATCCTTAGTTGCAAGCTTGTTACAACTCCACTGATTTTAGTGAGGTTGTGACGATGCTTTACGGTAAATTCTACCAGCAAAGCAACTTGTCTAAGCCCAAACTAAGAGTCAGCAGTAGAAATGGGAGCAGAACTAGTGTGGTCCACAAAAGCATCACGGACTGAGTAACTGGAGTGTTTCCATCCTTCCAGATCACTTTTCCTCTTTGTCCACTGAAGTGTAGAGGTGGCTTCAGCTTCTTAATGCTCGTACCATGAAAATGCAACAGTTGTTTATTTTCATAGTCATTTGTAATGACACATAAAATAGCCTACATCTTGTATTCCGGGCACTTTCAGTATTATTTGTAAAAAGAACAAAGATAAAATAATAGCACACTCAGGGAAAAAATTCTTCTTTAACATAGCTGCTGGAAGTGTTCTACTCAGTACAGCTTTTTCACCATGTGCTGTCATCTCGCCTGCAAAAATGGACTTTCAATTGAACAAGCAAAAAGATCAGTGACCCACTGTGCTCTGGTGGACAACCACCCTCCTTTACTTTACATGGCAAAGAAGTTATGGTAAAGAAGAGCTTGACTTGCCCTCACTCCTCCATGGGAAAGTAGGAGAATCCAGGCAATCTGCTTATTTTTCTTACAGTGTTCAACATTTGGCAGGACAGGGAACCTGATTTAATCCCCTGTCCCAGACTAGGGACTGTGTTCTTCTACTTCATCCATTCTTCCCTTTCCAATAAGCAGGAAATAGAGACCAGAATGAGGAGAAAGTTGGCTTCACTGGAGCCAGTGAGCTATTTCAGTTATAAGGACAGAATTGAATCAATACCATTTTTACTAGAAAAGAATGAAACTCTCCTTTCCCTCTCCTTCCATTACTTTGAAAGTGGTTTGACACTGATCAATATCCTCCCTCCAGCTTCCTTGCCTGAAATTTTTGCTGCTGGGCAGCTTCCCTCCAAAGCTTTTGCTTTGTTACTCGGCTGAAAGGGGAAGAGAGGAGGGCGATCAGAACTGAAGGAAAGGATCAGAGCAGTAAAGTAGCAGCACCAGGCTTAGAGGAAATTCATCCACCAGAAACTCAGAAGGGAGAGACTGGCAAAATGAAGGATGCACTTTGCGTTTGTGTGTCCAGAATTCTCTCAAGTGGTAGCTATATGGAGAAACTATGTAAATAAGTGTGAAAAACTTTGCAAACATCAGGGGACTGCATAAATCAAAGTCTTTAAAAGGACAAACTTTGCAGGTCTTCCTTCAGCAGGCATTCGTTATGTTTGGGTGTATAACATCTCACACAGAAGCGTTTTTGTTTTGCTTGTGAATATAGTCTACTAGTTGCAATCTATTCTAGACCCTGCTATTCCTCCCCTTTTCCTTTCACTAATTTCTAAGTTTCCAGAACTTTTAAATGCTTATTCAGATATAAATTTTATGTCTGATATATGAATGTCCCACGAACTCAAAATCTTTTGGCTGTTAGGACCCACTGGTCCCTATGTATCTTTCAACTTAGCAGCCCATCAAGGCTATGTAGGAATATTTGATCCTTACTTTCCCTTACTGTGATGCAAAACAAAGAGCAGTTCACTTACAGTTATCAGTAATTATATTTGGCTGTAAAATCAGTCTTGAGAGTAAATAGAGTAATTTTTTGCTTAGGCTAGGATTGGAAAAATGCAGAAGGAGGGTATTTTCTTGAAATAGAAGTAGTTTTCTGTCTTAGGCTATATCTGCTCTATGCAGGTACAGAAAGACCCTTTTTGTTTTTTTCTTTCTAATTTAATTTGGATGGGCAGAAGCCATCTCCAGTCCGGAAGTCATGTTAGTGCCTTTGAGTTGATTTTTTGTTGCTGTCATACTAATGTGCTAAAATGTGGCCTCCTTTGTAGCTCGGATGCTTAAAAGCACAGAGAGGTTAGGTCTGTCTGCAATCATCTGTGTTAACATGGTGTTAGTTATACTTACGGCTTAGCAAAAAAAGTAAGGTTGAAAATATTGTCTCAAGTGCAATATGAGTCTCCCCCTTAGAAAATGAATTATAGAGGGGAAGATACATTGCTGACAAATTCTCTATTGCTTTGTACTTTTCTAAGAGAAAAAAACCCAAAAAGCAAGGGAGTTTTCTCCTTGTCTAGATGTGGCTGATAAGAATTATCCAAATTTGGATGTCCTACCCATGCACTGGCGGATGTGCTAAAAGTCCAGCTTCCAGCCGACTCTCCTGTGGCGCTCCCTCTTCTGTATCAGCCAAATAGGATGCAATGTAGCGTAACTCCACAATAAACGGAAAGATAATGAGTATACCACACAGTAATAGACGATCCTTTGCCTTTTTTCAGCAGCTGCTTCTAACACCTGATTAGGATCTGCTGTCAGTAAGCTGTTCAGTTTTCTCATGGTGAAATGTCCGCTTCCTTCCTGTCTTTTTTTCTTCTCCAGAGACACTTGTAGGATTGAGGGAACTACTTTCTTCTGAGCAAGCCAGTATCGCCTGCCTCAAAAAATTCTGTGCATGGATGCTGACATCCCAGTTCCGATTCATGGCATCAAGGTACATAGTAGCGTTAGGTTTGATCATCAGTGAATCTTTCACACCAGAAATGACAACCAGTAACTCCTACAGCATCAAATATATTAGCACATGGACTGTTTGCTGAATATGGCTAGGTGAAAGGTGCTAAGGTTCAAACATTACCTTTCCAGAAGCATAATTCTTCCCCTCAGGTGAACAAAGTGGATTATTTTTTTTCTTTGGGCGTTTCCCCAGCTCTCTTTGTAAATCTTGGCTGAGATTCTGGATTCAAGGTCGCTATAGGAAAGTCAGTCTATAGAAGCATCTATACATTG